TTGACAATAATTTCTTTTTAAATAACTTTTAAATAACTTCGCATGAATTCAATTAGGTTTAAAAGTTTTTTAAAATTCTCTTCAAAATTTCTATTATCTTTATAAATAATAAAATTCTTCTCCAAAATTCAATTATTTTCAAAAAATTTAATAAAATTCTTGGCAAAATTTCAATTATTTTCAAAATTATTCCTCATTTCAATTATTTTTGAGATCCATTTAAATAAAATTTTCCAAAAGAATTCTATTATTTAAACAAAATTTTAATAAAAATTTAACAGGAATTCAATTACTTAGGTACTAATTTCTTTTATAAATTTCTTCGTATCAATTTAATTATTTAAAATCTTTTAAGGGGCCAGTCTGGGTCTTTTGCACGTATTTTGAAGAATTTTTTTTTTCATAGTGAAATTTATTTAAACATTTTTGAATTTTTACATATTACAGATATATTAAACTAAATAAAAAAAATTTATTTTTATATTTTTTGTTGTTAACCCTCTGCCTACTCAAGTGACCGTTATCGACAAAAAACGACAATTCGGTCGCCTGGTGGGGACTATGGGAATTACATTTAAAAGCGCTAGAGTGGGGATAACTCAGCGTAGGCAGAGGGTTAATAGCGAAGAAATGGCCAACTGTAAAAAAAAATCTCGAAAATCTGGTTAACATGATATCTTCAGTCAGAACAGACGGAATCAAAAAATTCAAACGGTTTATTAAAATGTATGTAAATGGTTACAGCCTGAACTAAAATCATAATTTTTAAATAATTTTTAACCTATTTTTTAAACAATTTTAGTTGCAAAAGAAGCGTTGAAAAAGTAGAAAGTCCGCCATTTTGTTATTTTTCAATGCAAATTTTTTATTTTAGTTCCAGCTGTAAACATTTACCTATATTTTAATAATCCGTTTGAATTTTTTGATTCTGTTTGTTCTGACTGAAGATATCATGTCAACCAGATTTTTCAGATTTTTTTTACAGTCTCCATTTCTTCGCTATTAACAACAAAAAATACATAAAGAAAAATTTTATTTTTATTTTAATATACGTGTAATAATATGTAAAAATTTAGAAATGTTTAAATGAATTTCACTATAAAAAAATTCTTCAAAATACGTGCAAAAGACCCAGACTGCACCCTTCATGAAATTTTTGAAAAAATTTAAATAGGGTAAGTGTACCAATTGCCGAGGGTGTTCCATTTGTCGATGTTACCATGGTAATAACCAAAAAATATTGTCTAAAATGTCTCATTTGTTTGTTTATATAATATTAATATATTTTTTTTACATTTATAACGCATAAAAAAATTAATATTTATTACTTTTTTCATTTTCAATGTGCTACACTGTTTAAATAAAATTCAAAGTTTGTTTACTCAACAACAGGAACCATCCTCGACAATTGGTACGTTTACCCTATATAAAGAAAAATTGAAAAAATAGTCTCAGAAATTCAAATATTTCAAAAAATTTAAATAAAAATCTTTTAAGGGTGTTCGAACAAGAAAAACCTTTAAAAATGGCTGCCAGAACTTATGCTTCATCTGAAATGGATTATTATCACAATTGAGACATTTATCACAATTTTTAAAAAATTAGCCGGAATCTTGAATGGTTGTACTTTCATTTTCTTCTAATAAATTAAACATTTATACATAAATAGAATGATAGGAAGTAAACTAGAACCACACAAGCGAAATATAAACAAATTAGTGCTATTAAAAAATATCTTCAGAGGGCATCACCCACCAGGTACATAGAAATCTCTTAGTTTACTTCCTATTGTTGCATATATGTTAAACAATCTTCAATTTCTTAGACTCAAATTAAAGCAAAAATTTTCAAAATTCCGGCTGATTCTTTTCAAATTACTATCAATGTGTCAATTACGATAAACATTCGTATCAAAAAAAGTATAACTTCTGACCGCCATTTTTAAATACCTTTCTTGATCGAACACCCTTAATAATTCTATTAATTAAATAAAAGTTGACGAAATTCTTTACAAGATTTAGTTCATTAAATTGCAATTTTAACAAAATTTTCTTATATAATTCAATTATTTACAAAACATTTCACCTTAAGAATTAAATTATTTTCACAAAATTACATTTTTAAGGAAATTCAATTATTTAAAGAAATTTGAATAAAATCCTTCGCCAGAAATCAATTATTTTTTTTCTTGAGAATTCAATTATTTTTAAAAATTTTGATAAAATGCTCTATAAATTTGAAAAATTACAATAAAATCGGCCATAGAATATCACTATTTTCGTAAAAAACAACATTTTTCTATAAATACAATTATTGTCAAAAATTTTTGTAAAACTCTTCGAAACAATTCAATTATTTAAGATATTTTAATAAAATTCTTCCCAAGAATTCAATTTTTTTTAAAATAAACATTTTCACAGGAATTAAATAATTTAAAAAATTTTTTTTAATTTTGTATTAAATTTTAACTATTTTTAAAGAGTTTTTAAAAATTCTGAAAAATTCAATTATTTAAAAAAATTTGAGTAAAATTCTTCACAAGAAATTAATTATTTTCATAAATAATATTTTTATCTGAAATTCAATTATTTTTACAAATAAAATTCTTCACAGGAATTCAAATAATTCTTAATAAAGATTTTTTATAATTTTATAAAATTCGCTGAAAAAATTCAATTGCTATTAAAAATTTTGATGAAATTCTTCATAAAAATTCAATTTTGTAAAACATGTAATTACTGAATAAATTATTTATTTTTGTATTTTAGTAATTGAATTCTGAAGAAATTTTCTAATAAAAATTTATTCAAAAATGAATTTCTCTTAAAATTTTAAATTATAATTGAATATTAAAAACATTATAGCGTGAATTTTTAGAATTAATTTAATTTTAAAAATAATTTAATTTAAAATCTTTGAAAATTTGAATTTTTAGTTACAATATTCTTATGAAATAAAATAATGATTTTATTACTTTGTTATCTTAAATTTATTATAATATTCTCGTAAGTTAGGTATTGAATTTGAGAATATAAATTCCTAAAGAAAAATAATAATGATTAAATATTTATTTTAAAAAAGAAGTTATTAATGTTCTTCAGGGTCAGGAAAAACCTGAAAATTTTGTCTGGAAATCAGGGAAAAATAAAATTAAAATTTTGTGGCAACCATGTGTAATATTATTTCATATTACGATTTTAAAATAATTTAAATTAACCTATACTTAAACAAAAATATTTATTTTATTATAAAAAAAGTTAAAAATGAATATTGTATAGATACCAGTTTCTTTAATCAAATGACAAATTGAAATTATTTTTTGATGGCTCAAAAAAATTATTTTTTTAAAATTGAGTAAAATTTTTAATCCAGGACATTTAAGGACATTTATTCAAATTCCAGGACATTTCCAGGTATTCCAGGACTTCAAGGATCAGTAGACACCCTGCATTGTATGCACTTTAAAAATTTTCAAATTTTTACCAAATTGTTTAATTACTTTTTATTTATTTAAATATTTCAGAAATATGAAGATATTTTGTTTGTTAAAAGTATAGACTAGAAAAAAGAAGAAAAAACAAGTTCTTTCTGAAACGGGTGTCTACATAGAAATTTTTCCTCCGAGAAATAAAATTCCAGTTTTAACTTTTAACGAAAATGATAAACTCATATATAATTGCAGAGACTAAAATTGTTTTCGAAAAAAGCTTTTTATTACCAATTTTTTTATTTGAAAAACCTTTTATTTAAGATGAAAAATATTAACTGAAAAATTACAATGTATAATGTCCAATTGACGTCCTCGGGACGTCCTAGGGACGTCTTTTGGACATAGAACTTAGAAATTTTTCCTCCGAGAAATGAGATTCCAGTTTTAACTTTTAATAAAAATGACAAACTCTATATAATTACAGAGACTAAAACGGTTTTCGAAAAAAGCTTTTTATTACCAATTTTTTTATTTGGAAAACCTTTTACTTAAGATGAAGAAGCGTAACTGAAAAATTGCAATGTATAATGTCCAATTGACGTCCTAGGGACGTCTTTTGGACATAGAACTTAGAAATTTTTCCTCCGAGAAATAAGATTCCCGTTTTAACTTTTAACGAAAATGATAAACTCATATATAATTTCAGAGACTAAAACGGTTTTCGAAAAAAGCTTTTTATTACCAATTTTTTTATTTGAAAAACCTTTTATTTAAGATGAAAAAGATTAACTGAAAAATTACAATGTATAATGTCCAATTGACGTCCTCGGGACGTCCTAGGGACGTCTTTTGGACATAGAACTTAGAAATTTTTCCTCCGAGAAATAAGATTCCAGTTTTAATTTTTAACGAAAATGATAAACTCGATATTATTACAGAGAATAAAAGCGATTACGTAAAAAGCTTTTTGCTTTATTACAAACTTTGTATTGGAAATTTTTATGATATTTTGAATTTCGAAAAACTTTAAACCGTTTGAACTACCAACTACAAAAATATGTACTTAACAAAGCAAGAAACTACATTATAAATATTTTTGTTCGAAAAAGTGGACCATCTATTTTAAAACGAGTATAATAAATAATAAAATAAACCAATTATTGCTTATTAAATTTAGGACTTAAATTAAACGACATTGAATAAAACATTGAACAAAGAAACATAGTAATTGGGGTACAATAAATCATGCACAAAAAAGTATAAATGATAGAGATATGAAAGCAGAACAATTACCTGCGATAGTGTTTTCAGAATTTGCCTCTCTTAATCCCTCGTTAGGATTACCAACAGCAATTGGACTGCTCTCTCTGGAACTATCAATTGGACTGCCCTCCCTGAAAGTGTCACTGAAGCTGTTCTCCCGGAAGCTGCTATTTCGATTGCTTCCCTTAATTAGGTCGACTGGACTGCTCTTCACGACTGTCGTTTGGGATGTCCCTCTAGCTCGACTAGCATGGCTGGTCTTCCTTAAGCTGCTACTTGGATTGGCTCCCCCATTAAATTGACTGGACTGCTCTTCACGACTGTCGTTTGGGATGTCCCTCTAGCTCGACTAGCATGGCTGGTCTTCCTTAAGCTGCTACTTGGATTGGCTCCCCCATTAAATTGACTGGACTCCTCTTCACGACTGTCGTTTGGGATGTCCCCCTACAGTACCGTCCGCAATTGTCAGTCCACCCATTTTTAAAGGAATGACAAAAATTTTTTAACATAAAATTCATGAAAACTAAAATTTTTTTTGGTTTATATTTTGAAAGACGATAAAATTTTGAAAAGAATAAGACCTTACAGAAGTCATTTGGCCAAAATTTGTAGAAGATATTCCTAAAAATCGTCATTTTCAATGTTTTACAAAAATTTAAATAACTTCTAAAATAATGAACGCTTTTTAATAATCTTAGGCTTATTTTAAAGGTCTTTTTCTACGGAAAAAGAATTACTTATAGGCATTAACCTGTCATTTTTAACTTGGAATAAGCATGACGTCAAAATTGGACAAAAAAATTGGAAAAATTTGAAATCAATTTTTTGTACTAAAAACTATTCTAGAACATATATAAAACATGATATGGTGTAGATTTTTCAAGAAAATTTAATAAAAATATATGTTTGAATTTCAAAAATTATTTTTCTTTTAATAATATTATTTCAAATTTTTTGAATTTTTTTGTCCAACTTTGACGTCATGCTTATTCCAAGTTGAAAATGACAGGTTAATGCCTATAAGTAATTCTTATTCTGTAGAAAATAGTCTTTAAAATAAGCCTAAGATTATTAAAAAGCGTTCATTATTTTAGAAGTTATTCAAATTTTTGTAAAACATTGAAAATGACGATTTTTAAGAATATCTTCTACAAATTTTGGCCAAATGACTTCTGTAAGGTCTTATTCTTTTCAAAATTTTATCGTCTTTCAAAATATAAACCAAAAAAAATTTTACTTTTCATGAATTCTATGTTAAAAAAATTTTGTCATTCCTTTGAAAATGGGTGGACTGACAATTTCGGACGGTACTGTAGCTCGACTAGCATGGCTGGTCTTCCTTAAGCTGCTACTTGGATTGGCTCCCCCATTAAATTGACTGGACTGCTCTTCACGACTGTCGTTTGGGATGTCCCCCTAGCTCGACTAGCATGGCTGGTCTCCCTTAAGCTGCTACTTGGATTGGCTCCCCCAATTAGGTCGACTGGACTGCTCTTCACGACTGTCGTTTGGGATGTCCCTCTAGCTCGACTAGCATGGCTGGTCTCCCTGAAGCTGCTACTTGGATTGTCTCCCCCAATTAGGTCGACTGGACTGCTCTTCACGACACTGCTATTTCGATAGGTTCCCCCCATTTGGTCGACTGGACTGCTCTTCACGACTGTCGTTTGGGATGTCCCTCTAGCTCGACTAGCATGGCTCGTCTCCCTGAAGCTGCTACTTGGATTGGCTCCTCCAATTAGGTCGACTGGACTGCTCTTCACGACACTGCTATTTCGATTGGTTCCCCCAATTAGGTCGATTGGACTGCTCTTCACGACACTAACGTTTGGGATGTCCCCCATAGCTCGATAAGCATGGCTTGTCTTCTCGAAACTGCTAGTTCGATGTGATCTCTCATGGAATCGCACTCAAATAAAATATATTTTGTTTAAATAATATTTTTCTCTGGGTTTTTATAGATTTTTAAAGAATTAGCGAAATTTTCCAAAAATTCACGGATATTTTTTTCAATTCCTCGTTTTTCCCGTACGTATACCAGTAGGCTCCTTACCAAAAATTTAATTTTAAAAAAGTAGTAAAAAGTAACTTTAAAATTAATAAGTAGAAAATTTAAATTTGCCCACAAAAATTTGATTATTTATTTACCCCCTTCGCTTTGCCTGATTATCGTAAAAAATATTAACTTTTTTTTCATATCCTTATAATAATTCTAAATTTTATTTTCCTAACTTTATCCTTAATTTTATCTAAAATATTTACTTCTTTCTTATCCTGCTAATAAATTGAATTCCTGGAATTTTAATTTTCATGAAAGAATTTAAATATTTATAAAAATAATTTAATTTTTGCGAAGAATTTATAAAAATGTTTAAATAATTCATTTCTTTGGAATAATGTTTTTAAATTCTAATTTAAATAATTTAATTCATAAAAAAATTTTGTTATTTATAAAAAGAATTGAAATCTTACAAAGATTTTTACAAAAATTTTTTTAAATAATTGAATTCTATTTGGAAATTTTATAAAAATAGTAGATAATATAGAAAAACATTTAAATGCGAAAAGTTTTCGAGAACAACTGAATTTTTCCTTAGAATTTTATCAAAACTTTTTTAAAAAATTGAATTTCCCAAAAATATGTGCTTTTTTTGTTTTAAATTTAATGAAAAATGTTATTATTAGTGAAAGTAATTAAATTATAAATTGTATAACAATTTTGTTAAAGAATAGATTTTTCGAAATTTTTTTAAAATACTATTCAAAATTAATTGAATTCCTGTGGAAGTTTTATTATTTATAAAAATAATTGAATTTTGAATAAATTTTTTTTTTATTATGAATTATTTTGCGAAATTTTATGATAATACTAGATATTGAAAATAATTGAATTTCTAATTTTTTATAAAATAATTGAATCGTTTTAAAGAATTTGATTAAAATTATTACGAAATTCCGATTATTCTGAAATTCTTCAATTAAATATATTAGAAATTAAAAACTTTAAATATTGAAAAAATTACATTAAACTTATTGAGAAAAATTAAATTTATAGAATTCTTAATTAAAAATATGAAAAGTTCAAATTTTGAAAGATTTTAATTTCATATTCATTTTTAAATCAATATTTATTAGAAAATTCTACGAGAATTCAATTATTTAACTATAAAAATAATTATTTTATTAAACAATTGAATAATTGAAATTCTGCCAAGAATTTTATTAAAAGTTTTGAAAATAATTGAATTGCCGAGAAAATTTTATTATTTATAAAGATAATTGAAATTTTGACAATTTTCAAGATATCCGAGGCCTGTAGGATGAAAAAGCTTAACTGAAAAATTGCAATGTATAATGTCCAACTGACGTCCCGGGGACGTCCTAGGGACGTCTTTTGGACATAGAACTTAGAAATTTTTCCTTAGAGAAATAAGATTCCAGTTTTATTTTAATATAAATATCAAACTCTATATAATTACAGAGACTAAAACCGGTTTTCGAAAAAAGCTTTTTATTACCAATTTTTTTATTTGGAAAACCTTTTATTTAAGATGAAAAAGATTAACTGAAAAATTACAATGTATAATGTCCAATTGACGTCCTCGGGACGTCCTAGGGACGTCTTTTGGACATAGCACTTAGAAATTTTTCCTCCGATAAATAAGATTCCAGTTTTAAGTTTTAACGAAAATGATAAACTCATATATAATTTCAGAGACTAAAACGGTTTTCGAAAAAAGTTTTTTATTACCAATTTTTTTATTTGGAAAGCCTTTTACTTAAGATGAAGGAGCGTAACTGAAAAATTACAATGTATAATGTCCAATTGACGTCCTCGGGACGTCTTTTGGACATAGAACTTAGAAATTTTTCCTCCGAGAAATAAGATTCCCGTTTAACTTTTAACGAAAATGATAAACTCATATATATTTCAGAGACTAAAACGGTTTTTGAAAAAAGCTTTTTATTACCAATTTTTTTATTTGAAAAACCTTTATTTAAGATGAAAAAGATTAACTGAAAAATTACAATGTATAATGTCCAATTGACGTCCTCGGGACGTCTTTTGGACATAGAACTTAGAAATTTTTCCTCCGAGAAATAAGATTCCAGTTTTAACTTTTAACGAAAATGATAAACTCATATATAATTTCAGAGACTAAAACGGTTTTTCGAAAAAGCTTTTTATTACCAATTTTTTTATTTGGAAAACCTTTTACTTAAGATGAAGAAGCGTAACTGAAAAATTGCAATGTATAATGTCCAATTGACGTCCTCGGGACGTCCTTAGGGACGTCTTTTGGACATAGAACTTAGAAATTTTTCCTCCGAGAAATGAGATTCCGGTTTTAACTTTTAACGAAAATGATAAACTCGATATTATTACAGAGACTAAAAAAGCGATTACGTTAAAACGCTTTTTGCTTATTACAAACTTTGTATTGGAAATTTTTATGATATTTTGAATTTCGAAAAACTTTAAACCGTTTGAACTACCAACTACAAAAATATGTACTTAACAAAGCAAGAAACTACATTATAAATATTTTTGTTCGAAACAGTGGACCATCTATTTTAAAACGAGTATAATAAATAATAAAATAAACCAATTATGGTTATAAATTGGGACTTAAATTAAACGACATGGAATAAAACATTAGATAAAGAAACATAATCATAGGGTGCAATAAATCATGCACAAAAAATTTTTGAAAGATTTAATTTGAAATTTCATTTTTAAATCAATATATTAGAAATTCTATGCAAATTCAATTATTAACTATAAAAATAATTATTTTATTAAACAATTGAATAATTGAAATTCTGCTAAGAATTTTATTAAAAGTTTTGAAAATAATTGAATTGCTGAGAAAAATTTTATATTTATAAAGATAATTAAAATTTTGACAAGAAATTTTGTAAATTTTTAAACATACTTGCATTTCTGAGAAGAATTTTATTAAAATTATTTTGAAAAAGATTCAATTGTTAGGCAAAGAATTTCATTAAAACTTTGAAAATTATTTTATTCTTTAAAGAAATTTAATTATAAATTCATTAAAAATAATACTCAAATTCTAATAAATAAATTGTAGCAAAGGTTATTAAAATAATTAAATTTCTTTAATAATAACATTTTTAAGAATAATAAATTTTTTCGAGGAATTCCATTTAAAATTGTATTAAATAATAATTAAGTTTTATTATTTATGAAAATAATTGAATGTTTCCGTTGAATTTTATTAAAATTTTGTTTAACTAATGAATTCTTTTAGGAATTTTTATTAAAGTAGTAGATATTAAAAATCATTGAATTGTAAACGCAAATTCTTTTAAAATTGAATTAATTTTGAAACATTTAAGTGAAATTAGATTTCAAGAATAAACACAATAATTTTAGAGAAAACAACAATTTTCCAGGATCCGATTGGAAAATCCCTGACTTTACAAGGTTTTTTCAAAGTTTATAAATTACCTGACATTTCCAGGTTTTCCAATTTTCCAGGTTGCGTGGCAACTCTGAATTAGTAAATAGATTTTGACAGATAAGTGCAAAGGCCATAAAAATTTTAATTATACTTTTCTAAAATCCTGTCTTTTCCTTAATTACAAGATTATTCAAAACTTTTAATGCCATATAAGAAAAAATGTTCTAAAAATTTTGATGAATACGTTTTTCTTAAGATATTTCAGTTTTTATATCTGGGAGCAAAAATTCTAAAAATTACTTCCTCAATAGTGTTGTGATGTTCAAAAACGGAATAATCGATAGAATAATTAAATAATGAAAGTACACAAAAGTTTAAAACTGACTTTAAAAAATGGTTGTCAACTACTTTATCTCTCAAAGAGAAAAACTTTTGATCCCTTTAAATCACACAATTCATCTTTAATTAAAATTATCTTTGACATTAAAAATCTCATCTGTAATATTGATAAAAAGGATAAAAAATCCTTAACAATTCAATACAATAATTTTGCGTATTTCAATACCTTGCATTTATCTATTTCGTTCATCTATTCTTAACCGAAAACAAATTATAATCTTATCGTATTTTAAAAAACAACTTAACTTCAAAAAAAGATTTTTTTTAACTTCCAAATACATAAATATTTTTTGTTTACCTTATATCAGTTTCAATCCAAACGGAATTTCCTAGTATTAAAAACGAAAGTAAACAAATCTGCAGAGATCATAAACAAAAGTCTTTAGAAGGCGTAACGCGTTCGAATATCCTCCAATCTCTTCGAAACTTCAGACGATGTTTTTTCTAAATCGCCGGCAATATTTTTTTGAATTGTAGACTGAATTGAGTTGAATTGCTCGCATAAATCACCATCATCTGAAGGAGAGTGGATGAATAATTAAATATGTCTAATATCAGAATTTAGTTTAGTAAGTTAGTTTTTTAGTTTAGACTTTTTAGTTTCAATTTAGTTTCAGAATTCTTTGCGAAGAATTTAATCAAAATTTTTTAATATAATACAATTTTTTTTAAAAACACTAATTAAATTTTTCGCTGAACTACATACAAATTGTATAATAAATAATTGAATTCTTTCAAAAAATTTTATTATTTACAAAAAATTCAATTCTTGCAAAGAAAAGTTCATCGAATTAGACTTATTCTCTAAAACAATTGTTCCTATCAAATTCAAAAAAAATCTTATTGAATTCATTTTTTAAAAACAAAAATTAAAATTTTGATAGAAATTGTAATTATATAAACATTTTTCTTTTAAAAATTGTTATGATGTAATATCGAAAATATTCAAAAATAACAGAAAATAAAATGAAGGACGAATTTTCCAAATTTTCAGAATCTTTAACTTTTTATATCTATATAGTCGGACACTATGATTGTTAAAATAATGAATAAAAAACTATTTGTCGAAATATAATTTCAAATAACACTATTTTCATAAAATATGAATTACATACCACTATGTAATTGTTTGGAATAAAATAAAATTCCGATAATTTGGCAAGAGCTGGATGTGGCTTCCATTGATGACTCGACAGAAAAGACAGGTTTCCGGTTCCGCCGTTCCGGTGTATCGTTACTAGTTCAACCTTCAACATTAAGGTTTATCCACATAGAGTGAAACATCCAAACTGCGACAATTAGGCTGTTTCACTACAT